AAGTGAGGGTCATTTTTTAGGATTTTTTACCCAAACAAAGTCTCTGAGAACCTGACACATTGCACTTCTGGAGACTCCAGGTAGGTTGCAGTACTGGAAAATGTTGGCGCTGGAGACTAAATGGTTCCTGATGGTTTCACACCTAATTCTTCACATTAATTCTTAATTCTTTTGCAGTTAACGTGTCTTTTCTTCTCCACCTGTTTTTTTCTGATCATGCTGACCCAATGAGCATTTCGCTGTCCAATGGTCATGTCTTAAATTTGCAAATTCTAGTATTGCATTAGTATTGCATCCTTCTCATGGGCATTTAAGAGTTAAATCTCTTTTTTGGCTCATTTTTTCTGTAAAAGAAAATGTGCCTAATGATTATGCAGACCTGAATATAAGGAGTTTTTCACTTCCAGCTTTCATAGACAATTAATGATTAAATACAAAATTAATAGTAGTTATTAAGATTGGATGTGGTTTTGGCACCTTGGATGGTTGCCAACTGAAAGAAGAGTAGCATTCCTGAAACTAAATATTTTACATAAAATAATTCATGTAGCGCACCATATTTTACTTTATTTGTCATGGATTAATGTAAGACATGGAGATTTTAGGTACACAACCGTCATCGTGAGAATGACTTTCTAAAATCAAGGACCACAATGGAAAGAAGTTCATTCAACTTAATTATGTTATCCTTGACAAAGATGTAACGCAGTTGTACTGCTCACATCATGACAAAATGTAAGAGAATCTACACAAACATGCACTAACAGTAGGCTACTTTTGAAATCTTTACCCAAGTCTCGAAGCATCGTAACGTGTATTTTGGAGCCTAGGTGTGTTGATTTAGATTTTGCAAATCAAAGGCATAAAAAAAATAAACAACAAAGACTTTTATTGTCGGACGAATATCAAATTAGTGACTGACCCAATACATGCTGGAATTACCATGTCCATATGTAAAATAATGATCGTAAGAAATGTTACTGCACTCCTTTGAAGCTGCAATGGTTTATTCCTGCAATGGTTTTGCCTGACTTATGAAGAGCGATCAGTCTATGGATCCACCACTATGTTTTAACGTTGGAAACACATCATCTGCCACCAGGTACTGTAAACATATGGTAAACAATTTGATTAAAATTACGAGGGCACTTTTTTTGAAATAATAAAAATAATTATGTGCATGGATCAATCATTTATAATAAATGCAATTAATTCCTTGAAAAAGCTAGGAAACAATTTTCACTCAGAAATTCACAGTAAATTTAAACATGTCGGTGTCACAAAAGGTGACTTTTTGGTGACTTTGCTGACTCGCTTTGTAAAATTTGTGTTTATAAAAATACTATAATTTTAATGGTAATAATGTTCTTATTTAAATTTAAGTAATGTTTACTTTAAGTATTTTTAACATTAATACAAATAATTTGTGAAGGATTCATATTGATCGTACAATAACTGATAGAAAACATTTTACATTAAAAAAAAATCAGTGTCAATTATAAAGGTAAGGATAAAACAAATAAATCTTACAATCATCTTTCTGCAAAAGCAAAATAAGGTAACATTACCATCACACATACAGTAATGGAAAGTTAATAATTATTGTATAGGTTGTACAGTGATTACAAACCAGCTTAATTCAAACAATAATCCCTCAGTCATAAACTGATGTCCAAGGCACACCTGATATGAATTAATAATTAATTTCATTATCGAGTTTAGCATATTTAAAGCTAAGAGAGGTACAAAAAGCATAGGCTCAACCAAAGTTCACAGCTCTAGTGCTCACACTCTAAAAAATGCTGGGTTGTTTCAACCCAACTTTGGGTCAAATATGGACTAACCCAACTGTTGGGTTAAATTTTTACATTAAATTTTTAACCCGAAAGTTGGGTTAGTCCATATTTGACCCAAAGTTGGGTTGAAACAACCCAGCATTTTTTAGAGTGCATATTTAAAATGAAACATCTGCCTAAAAGGTCATATTAGAAAGAAATTACTTACAAGCCACTCGTATTCAACACAGATGTAGTACTAGTTTATCGGATGAATGCATCAGTTCAGGTAATTGACTTGTTAGAAAACATTATCCAAGGAGAGTGCACACATGGACATTTTGAATAACTCGAAAAGAAGAAACCAGTGGTAACATGCAACACAACTAAAAGTTAAGTAGTTTAATCTATTTCTTTACGTGAAATCTCCGAAATCCCTGTGGAGAAAAAGCTTCCGTTGGACAAGTCTGTTAGTGGCTTCTCTCTGTGCGCCTCTGTGTAGAGTAAACTTTAATCACTTTTTTTTTTTTGCATCAGTTGATTAGATGACAAAACACAAAGTAAATATTACTTTGGATTTTCTATTCAAATGTATTTACCATTCATTAAAATTTCCTAAATCTTACTCTTAATCTGAAGAATCAGTTACCAAATCTCTTCAGTTACCAAAACCCAGCCGTGTGCCTGTGAAAAGTGACTGTTCAGTGGATTACCAAATATGTTTCAATGGTGGAAACACTGGCCACCGGTACAGTTTGTAACGTTTTAAATGTTTTATTGCTCATTATTTGTGGTGCACAAGACTGTACATTGTTGATCATGCTTGTTAAATCCTCACCTGACATTCTTACATAAACTTACATGATCTTTACATCAGCAGGCACACAATGTAAAAAGCATAATTTGTATTATATTCCACATGGGAATTAACTACTAGTTTAAAAGCACTGATATGTTTAGTTATATTTACAGATAAACCTGCTTTAGTTTGTGTAAAGCAATACGTCATGTGTCTGATATATGCTTGCACTCCACTTAAAAGAGGCTTTGTATATAGTATGTCAGACACTATAGATCATGTGTTGATGCCTTCCTAGTGATTACCAACCTCCTCCACAGACCAACCAGTCTAGATCTGCTCACAGTGGATTTTATGTTTCTACATGCGTTTAGCACCAGTATATATTTTTTCTGTTTTAGCAGAAGCAGCAACAGCGTACACAGAGTTAGTCTGCCAAAACCTTTAAAAGGATAGTTCACCCAAAAATGAAGTGTCTCTCATCGTTTACTCACCCTTATGCCATTCTAGATGTACAAGTCTATCTTTCTTCAGATGATCACAAACAAAGAAAAAAATAACCCACCTTTGGGAGTCCATATAATGCAAATGAATAGGTGGCATAATTATAAAGTTATCCAACACGCTATGTGAAAAAAATAACTGCCCCCTTAAACTTAAAATCTAGTTCTGCCAACTTTAGCAGCAATAGCTGCAACCAAATGCTTCCTATAACTGGAGATCAGTCTTTCACAGTGCTGTGGTGGAATTTTGGCCTACTCTTCCTTGCAGAACTTTAGTTCAGCCACAGTGGAGGTTTTCAAGCATGAACTGCCTGTTTAAGGTCCTGCCACCGCATCTCGATTGGGTTCAAGTCAGGACTTTGACTAAGCCACTCCAGAACTATAATTTTCTTCTTTTTTTGCAAATATATGACCTTGCACTGACGTGATATTGTGGCTGCGCCATCATTCCTGTCTTTTTCCAACCTGCCTCTTCACAGAGCTATTCAGAGGTGGAATTACTCTTATGATTTGAATAGAATCTTTCATGGATGCCACTGTTTTTCAGATAGTCCACCACTTTAGTATGAGATAAACACAAAACAAAAGAAATCAGGATGGGGGAAAACACTTTTTCACAACACCGTATTTTAAACTTCTAAACACACACCTATCATTTTGCTTCATAAGACATTAAGAAGTGGATTATTTGTCTAAAAACCTTCATTTGTGTTCATCTGAAGGAGGAAAGTCATATATAACTGGGATGGCATGAGGCTGAGTAATGATGATAGATCTTCTTTAATAGGTATTCAAAGAGTTATCATGACTAAAGTGCAATAACGTGGACATTTAATTTCACAGCCATGAAGTCCTCAACACATTTAGATCAAATCTGATGAACAAGTTTCAGTGTATGTATGAAGGAACAGCAAAGCAGGGAAACCCAACACTCCTGAATGAGATCTACACAGAGCTCTACATCACAGAGAGTGAGAGTGGAGAGATCAGTAATGAGCACGAGGTGAGACAGATTGAGACACAGTCCAGGAGAGCAGCAACAGAGGACACACCGATCAAATCGAGAAGATGTTGAGTCAAGCAGAGAGTGGAGAGATTCCCAAGACTCTCACTCAAATTTACACACACTTCCTGATGGCACAGATTAACATCAAAGACACAAAGTACAACGAGAAGAAGGACACAGACAAAAAAATGATTTTCAAACTAGGTAAACTGGCATACAAACAACTGGAAAAAGGCAATGGGATCTTCTATGAGGAAGACCTGAGAGAGTGTGGCATTGATGTGACAGAAGCATCAGTGTACTCAGGATTGTGCACTCAGATCTTCAGAGAGGAGTTTGGCTTGTATCAGGGGAAAGTCTTCTGCTTTGTTCATCTGAGCATTCAGGAACATCTCGCAGCTCTATATGTGCACCTGTCCTGTACAATACACGACAGAAATGTGTTTGACCTGGACTGGTTTCAAATCAATTAATCAAAACATGTTTCATTATCGGAGTTGCATCAAAGAGCTGTGGATAATGCACTACAGAGTAAAAATGGACATCTGGACTTTTTCCTGCGGTTTCTTCTGGGTCTGTCAGTGGATTCTCATCAGATTCTCCTACAAGGACTAATGAAAGAGACAATAAGCAGCTGACAGCAATGAGGAAACAGCTGAGTATGTCAAGAAGAAGATCAGGAGCAGTCGCTCTCCAAAGAAATGTATCAATCTGTTTCACTGTCTGAATGAACTGGGTGATCATTCACTAGTGGAGGAAATACAGCAGTATAGGAGATCTGGCACAATAAAGGAAGTCAAACTCTCTTCATCTCAGTGGTCAGCTGTAGCTTTTGTGTTGTTGACATCAGAGAAGGAGCTGGATGTGTTTGATCTCAAGACATTTGTTGTAGGAAGCAGTAAAGCTGAAAATATGAAAGTTTTTCAGAAGCTGCTGCCTGTGATTAAAGAATCCAGATCAGTTCAGTAAGTATCACTAAGAACAATCACTTCACTTTTAAAACTTTAAGACAATCAAAATTAAAAGCTCATAAAACTTCAATTCTGCAGATGTTATCCAGAGTTTAGTTGTCACTATTTTATGTGTTTTCTACAAAGTTCTATCTGCAGATTAGTTCTAAACAAGTTTTAAGTTACAAATGAATTAATACATAAATATTGATTCAATTAAAATTTAAACATGGATAATAAATTAAGAAATACATCTGTGTCTGTGGGTTTTTTTTACAGAACGAATTAATTACATTGGAATTGCAAGTTATTGTTTATCGCAGCAAATTATTATATTGCTTTTGTTTTCAATTCATAGTGTTTACAAGTTTAATTTTAATTTCTCTGCAGCATAAGTGATTGTGGTTTCACTGATGAAGGTTGTGCTGCTCTGGCTTCAACCCTGAGATCAAACCCCTCACACCTGAGATGACACAACTGAATCTATCTTGGAATAAACTAGGAAGTTCTGGTGTGGCGCTTCTCTGTTGTGTACTCAAGAATCCTCAATGTAAGCTGGAGAAACTGTGGTAAGACAATATTTGACTCTGACACATGAAACAAGTATATTTGAAGCGTTCAGCCTCTTTCTGCTGCTGTGAGTTCAGTTATTTGAGCTGTATATGACTGAACACATGAACTGCTCCTCAGTAACATGATACTGCAGAACTGAAATTCACAATGAAATACACACTCACTCACACAATCGACATTTCAATCTCTTGACTTTAAACAAACTCAAGCACAACACAGTCACAACTGAGAACAACTCAGTTATGTATGGTAACCCTTGTTCCCTGATGGAGGGAACCGAGACGTTGTGTCAAAGTTGCGACATTAGGGATCGCACTTGGGATTCCAGACACCTGGGATCATGCGTTTCACCTTGGACATCTGGGAGAGGTTATCTCAGTAGAAAGCCTTTTCTTCTGCTTAAAAATAATAATAAAAATTCAGCGGCTGGTGAACCTGGTTGTTGGGAAGTGTTCACTTCCTCAAGTGAGAAAAGAACACTATGGAGACCACATCCTTCTCGAAGGGAGGTGACGTGGAGATGCATCCAATAGACTTGCTAAAGAAAGTACTACATAGGTAAGGTTCTGTGGTGGACACCAACATAAGGGGAGAACAGTCAATCACAGTACCTAGTGACAGAGCAGCTCTCTGTCCAGGGGAAACACAGATAGAAATTAAATAATAGAAATTAATAGAAATTTAGCAGTGGAAGATACACATATGGGACCACCATAGGGGGTCACAACATATGGACCACTAACCTAATATGAGAGTTCACTTGAGGGATACTTAAAGTAATGGTTTCTGCAGTTACTTCCACCGCAAAACAAGCTGCGTGAGAGCACTTGACTGATGGAGAGGGTAGTCCAGGGTTCATAAGAAGGAACTGAATCTGGACTCAAATGCACACATTATCACCTTACCAGGCACCTGAATTCAGGTGTTAGTACCCAGAACTCTGGATTAAACTGGTTCCATTCACATATTATCGAATCTGGCAAATGTATTAGGTGTAGCCCAGCCCGCAGCTCTACCAATATCTGCTAGTGAGGCACCATTTGCCAAAGCTGGCGAAGCAGCAACGCCCCTGGTTGAGTGAGATCTCACTCCCAAGGGGCATGGTAAGCCTCTGGCATGATAAACCATGAGAATAGTATCCACAATCCAGTGGGAGATTCTCTGTTTGGAGATAGCCTTCCCCTTCTGCTGTCCTACAAATCAGACAAAGAGCTCTTCAAACGATTTGAAACTCTGTGTATGCTCCAAATAGATGTGCAGGGCTTGCAGCGGGCACAACAAAGACAGGTCTGGATCTCCCTCGTCAGGAGGGATAGCTTGCAGGGTCACCACTTTGGTCCCTAAAGGAGTAGTGGGAACCTTAGGCACATATCCTGGTCGGGTCTTAGGACAACGTAGGAGTCTGCTGGCCCAAATTCTAGGCACATTTCATTGACAGAGAGGGCTTACAGATCCCCCATCCTCTTGATAGAAGTGTGCACAGTTGGGTGGTCCATCTTCATAGAGAGGGCACTAAGGAAGGATATGACTGATCCAATACCACATCTCTGCGTGTTCCCCGGGATGAACACCAGTTAACGAAAATGTGCCACTTCAGGTCGTAGAGCCACCTCGTAGAGGGGGCCCTAGCCTGAGTAATAGTATTCACCACTGCGGGTGAAAGCCCTCTGAATTCCTCCTCGTCCCATCCAGGGACCAGACATGGAGGTTCTAGAGGTCTGGGCGTAGGTGCCAGATGAAGGTCAAAAGAAAGAAGGTCCCTCCTCAGGGGAATCTGCCAGGGAGGGGCTGATGACATCAGTATGAGATTCGAGAACCAGGTCTTGTTGGAACAATATGGCGACGCCATCAGGGCCTGTTCCATATCCTCCCTGACTTTGAGTCTGTGCGATGAGGCTCACTTGGAGGAATGCATACTTGTGTAGGCCCCTGGGCCAGCTGTGCACCAGTGTGTCTGTGCCGAGGGGAACCTCGGTCAGGGAATACCACAGTGGGCAATGGGAGGATTTTTGTGAGGCAAACTGCTCTATCAGATCTATCTGGGGTGGAGCATGGCTGAGTGCCGTGCTCGGACCCCAAGAACCAATCATCCAGCCGAGAAGCACTCGGGGCAGGGTGGGGGAGTCCACTCAAGCCCAATGCTCTGAGCTGCCTGGGTAAGCATGGCTGCCATCTCAACGTCAGCATCAGACTGAAACGTGGCACCCGGAAGACCAGTTCCAGCCAAGTCATCGGCTTCCAATGGTTCCAGCCTGCTCTCCCAAAGCTGCAATCGACAGCTCATGTAGGCGTTGGTTGGTTTTAAGTGGGTTTTGTCGCCATGGTAACTCGCGCTACATGGCTACCCTATTCCAGAACAGGTTTTATTCTGGAATTTGAAAGAATTTGAAAGCAAAATTGCCAGTCTTTTACCTACTAATTATTTATTATACTTATATGAATTATAGTTATTTATAATTTTCCACCCAGCACTAATCTGAACAGAGAGTGAAGAGTATGTCATTGTTCTCGGTTGTGGGAATGTGGTGTCACAGCTGATGGTTGTGCTGCTCTGGCTTGATTCTGAGATCAAACCCCTCACACCTGAAAGAACTGGTTCTGTATTGGAATAATCTACAAGATTTGGGTGTGGGGCTTCTTTGTACTGGACTTAAAGATCCTCACTGTAAACTGGAGAAACTGTGGTAAGATCATTTCTTTGATAGTCACACGTTTTTGTCCTCAGTAAGACGTGTCCTTTAATGTAAACTCTAAAATCAGCCAAGAAAATAATTGTTCAGTACTACATACTAAATCTCAGCACAAATGATCTCATTACTCCTCGAATGTCTTTATTCAGTTAACCATAATACTATTCAGTTTATAAGCTGGCAAAGACCTAACATGACACAGTTACTAATCTTATTTAACGGTTCAGTTCTGAATCACATAACAGTTTCAAACAGCACCATTGAGCATCAACATGCATAAGTCTCATTCTTTTAGCAGCAGTATGTGGCAATGCTTGTCCTTATATCTCCTCCCTGCTCTGAGACCAGAGTCAATAACAAACTACAGACATTTCAACTACAGTTCACGTTTTGTCATTCTCTACAGGTTAAGAGAATGTGGTGTCACAGATGAGGGTTGTGCTGCTCTGGCTTCAGCTCTGAGATCAAACCCCTCACACCTGAGACATCTTAGTTTGTCTGAGAATAAACTAGGATGTTCTGAAGTGCATTTACTTTCTGATCTAAAGGACGATCCACATTATAAACTGGTGGAACTATACTATTGTGAGTATTTGTGACTTTGTAATGTAATTTTTCTCTTTTTGCAGGTATTTTTTGTGATCTTACACTTTTGCTAAAATAAGATTGTAATACTTTATAAACATTGTCTATACAATTGAGGTATTGGTGAAACCGTTTTAGACTCAGGAGTTGCTTTTCTTCTGCCTTACCAGCAGAGGACAGCAAACACTACAAATTATTTCAGTATTTGTTTAACTGTCAATTCATGACTGATGATCCCCAAAAAAATCCTTTATTATTGCCATTACAGTGTATGCATTTAAAGAATTAGCAAAGCTATTCATATTTACTATTATTGACGATTTATGTAAATAGAAACGTTACAGATGAAAGTTTGATCTGTTTTCTGGGTTTCAATGACTTTTGACATTTTATAATATTTTACATACTTTACGACTTCTATTAGTTAATGAACAATGTACATCTTAGAGCTACAGCTGAATATATTTCACAAATTAATCTCCATTGCGACTCTCCAGTTAATAAGAACCCACTTGTCACAATAATTACATTCCTCCCCACTTATGCAAAACAATCTGTAAAGGTATAATAGTGTAAGTATGGTGGGTTTTGTTGTCATAGTATTTTAGGAAAAAAATACATTCAAGTATTTTATTGTTTCCTATCATAGAGAACCATTTAAAGCTTTTAAACGTGCAGAGAGAAGATGGGCAGACGCACTGATAACATTTAAGTTAAACATACAAGTAAAAAAAAAAACCTCATTACACATGCAGAGAAAGATATGAAGAGTCTGATTATTCCAGACATTGTCAGAATTATGAGATAAAACGTCGTTATGACATGAAGTCAAATTTTAACATCTTATCTCACAAATTAATGTCATAATTCTGGATTTTTGTCACCAGTAGTCTTTTTATTTCATAATTATGACAATTTTCTAAATAAAAAGAGTACAAAATTGTCATAATTTCAAATTATGTCAGTTATGACTTTTTATCTCAATTATTTTTGTCAATTTAGACTTTTTAAACTCGCAATTACAACAGTATGTCATAATTTTGATTTTATTTAAATTGTCTTTCGTGTAGTAGTAATTTGACTGACTATATAATAATTATGACTTTTTATCTCGTAATTATGATTTTCCAAAGCAATACTATACTATTCCCTTATTCAATAACTAGACAAAAAATGTGCGAAAATGAGTTTATATTGTTTATGATGAAAAAAGTGCTTTTTAAAAGGTTTAAACGGTTACTTATAGCAAATAAAAATGTTTGAACATTTCTGCAATAGATCAAGCATCTATATTTGCATGCAATTTTCACTCAATTTCTTTAAAAAAAAAATTGTGTCCCTGAGAAATACATTTTAAAAAATCAGTGTAAAAAAAGTGTATACATTTTACCCAGATCTGTGGAGACTGACATGTTTGTTTTCACCTTAAGTTTCATCTCGTGGACAGATTCAGGGTTTATGAAGGGTGGAAGAAATGAGAGTGCAAGACCAGTTTCTATTTGGTCTTCTCTGACTTAAAAATCCCATTTGATGGGAGGCAGAAATCACACACACTGTACATGAGACTTCTGATCTGATCTTCATTTGCATGGAATCATTTCACAGGTCTCTTATGAACTCGGAAATGATTCTTTTGATGGGCCGAGCCCTGAAGCCAGCGCTCATAATCATATGGAAATTGTGAGACATGAGAAGTGAAAAACTGACAAAAACTGGCACATTCACTGCAGATATCAGAGGTTTCAAGGAGGACTTTACCAAACCTGTGGAGAGATGTCAAGCACTCAAAGAAGCTCCATAGTACCGCCATATGGTCACCTGTTCTTCAATTATTAAAAAAAAATTCAGTCACCAAACAGCACTGGTTCACATGTGTGTAATGACTGCTGAAGCATTTGGGACAACAGCAACTTTTAACAGTTCAATTTTAGTCTGTTCCTCAAAAAAAAAAAAAAACTGTTGTATGACTTTAGAAATATCGCACTCTCTGTTTTGAACATAAAAACGCTTATGAGGTTTAAAAAGTTACTTGCCGAGTTATTTTTTACGAGGGTTGTGCTTCGGCACTGAATCTGATCGCCACATCAGAGCGCATCTGTCATTATTATTGGCTACGTATAATATTTATTAATTTATGGATAAATACACATTTTCAGTCCGATTGAGCCGTCAATCCGATTACAAATGGATAATTTGGTTGCATGTAAACGTAGCTGTACATCCACATAAATTCCACTATATTATATCCTACAAAAATGTCACCCGAACAAGTAAGTAACATATCTGCTGCTTTGTTATGATCAAATAAAAACGTAAATGTTTTAAAATAATTAAATTTAGTTATATTTATTGCTCAGTTAGTTCAGCGGATCACAAAGCAGAATTGCTCTCACGCATTGCTATCATAAAGTAAATGCCATTTACCTGCAGTGACCACAGCAAAACCTATATCTGAATCAAACGAACAAGTGCTTGAATGTTAGCTAGATGCCTACGGAGCCACTAAAATCAAATGTGTACCTGTTTATCTGCGTCAGTCTTTAATCAATTCGGATCTCGGACCTGTCGCCACTTCTCAAAACACACGCCGATATTTACTCTCGTTTTAGCACAGGCTTCTGCGCTTTCTCTTTATGGACGATGCAAAGTTTGAGGTTTCTTAGATTTGACACAGGTTCCCCAGACGTTAATGATAATTGTTGTTTAGAACTTTACCAATTTAAAGCAGCCATCGATCTTGCAACAAATGTTGTCGTTTTTGTTTACGGACGTGACGTAGACACACGAAGACGCCAATTTCCCGCGAAATCGGACCCGACAATAACTGATGTTTGTTCATTTTTAACCAAAAGTTACATACTGCAACTTTAATAAAAGAAGGAAAAGCAATCACAATGCTGTTTCAGCAGAAGCCCATCACCAAAGAGGTTCTATAATAAAATACTTGAATTCAATTCACATATTTTCAGACGCAGAAGACTGGACTTCCATGCCTGAAAGAAACTTTGTGTGCCAAAACTCATTAAAGCACTTATCAAACTACAAGAGGCAAATAATAAAAAAGGAAATTAATCAAGAAACCAAGGAATATATATTGTGCTCATGAAGAAATAATTTCAAAGTGATAAAATATTTATATGCATTTTCGTAAGTGTCAAACAATACAAAAGCAGAAATGATGAAAAAATTAACTTGCACCTGTAGACTGAATAAAATGTAACCAGCCTGTTAATCGGAGGTTTTGTCCTAACCAGCTTCAACCACAAAAAGAGCCATGACAAACATTTAGTTGTGTTGCGCAGATTCAAAATCCACATCACACTGCATTTCAAACATTACATATGCTCTGTTCGGTTATGATTTTGTCACTTCGCTCAACATTTTCAATTTCATTGAGAACTATGCTTGTTCTGCATGTTAAATCTGCTTTGTAGACATGTTTGCTCATTCTTACAATTAAAAAAGGGTTCATAAAACACAGTTTTAAGACAAATGTTACCCACAGTCGTTGAATAAAATAAGTCATTTCAAAGGCTATGACAGTCAGAATGAGTCTTTGAAAGTGAAGTATGTAATTCCTACATCATCAAATGGAATTGCAAAAATGGTTTTCAAACAGGTTTCTCATCTACTTTTTGACATTTCATGCATGCTAAAACACAGTAACGTTGCATAAAATAACAAATCATCATTACTTTGCAATATTGAGAAACTGCTCTAAGCTCCATTTTGAGAAACTGATAATATTTTAATGCAATATTATCTGTCTCAGTTAATATGCTCTTGATAAAAGTAGCCAGAAGTAAACGTAAATTCATGTGAAGACTTTACTGTAAAAATGCTTTTACTGAAAAAGACGTAAAACTAACCCATTTTCCAAATAAATGTATCCTTTTTTTTTTTAAACAACACTGACTTCCCCATTATTGCAATAAATTGTAATGTGCAGTTGTAATTCATTTCAAACAAAAATGTTTAAAACAAAATAAAACAGAATAATGTTGGTTGCACTCTTCGGGAAAATCAACCTATGAATGAATGATGTATAATTGACTCATTTTAACATGGAAAAATTACACACATCACCTATAATAAAACTCACAGACATGTCTTGTCATAAATTAAGGAGGAATATGTCTGTAAAGACAGTCTTTAAATCTAAACCCAGCGCTGGGTTATATTTAACCCAGCATTTTTTAGAGTGTACTTGAACATTTTTGACAAATTTTGACAGTGTTTTATGTGAGAGTACCAATAGGAGTGCCGACTCCGTAGCCCTTTGAGTCGATGAGTCCTCCAATCTGCGTGAGGTTGCAGTTTCTCTGGCTGATGTACTCGATGCTGGTGGACTCCATCAGAAGAGCGTAATCTGTGGTCATAACGCGCTGGATTCCCTCTCTGTTATTCTTCACCAGCGCTGTGTTCTTCCGGCTGCTCATGAACGCCCACATCTTATATATATATATATGTATGTGTAATGTGTATATTTATTATGTATATATAAATGCACACACATACGGTATATATTTTGAAAATATTTACATGTATATACATTTATATATTTATATTCTTATGTTTTATTATATATAAATATATTTAATATATAAACATAACATGTTTATTAAATATATACATGCATGTGTTTGTATTTATATATACATAATAAATATACACAGTATATTACACATGAATGTGTACACATATTATTTAAAGAAAATCTTTTATTATTGATGCGATTAATCGCGATTAATTGTTTGACAGCACTAAAAATAATACAATATAACATTAAATAAAATTAAAATGGAACAAGATAAATAATAAAATAAATTACTAAAATAATATAAAATAACAGAACAAAATAATAAATAAATAAATAAAATAAAATTCAATAATAAAATATATCACTGCCCATCAGGATCGTCTGTTAAAAAAAAAATCTTAAGTGGTTTATTGTTTTTATACAATTTCAGTAACACTAATATGATAAAAGACAACAATTATTAATCATTAATCAAATATTAGTATTTATCTGCAAATTAGTCTAGTTCATTAACCTTTTATGAGTATATCTTTTTTTTACAGTTTGGAATGTTGATCATCTAATTAAGAAATAAAATAAGGCTGTATTATATATTTAACTATTTTTTAAATGTTATTTTATTAATCAAATTCATAAAGTCTCATAAGTAGATCTATAGATGACATGTAAACTAAGCTGTTTCTAATATGGTTGATATACACATTAAGCACAATTAAAGCAATGTATTGATCACCAGTCAGCATCCAGGACCATAACTATCATTTCATAATCAGAATTAAGAGCCAAAACTATTGTTTTCTGTAAGAGAATATTCATAATCTCCACTCCTAAAAACCATATGAAATTATTTACAGCCATAGTGCAAATTTCAAGGTTTTTTAGAGGATGAGCAGTGTTTCTTCTGCCAAAATTCATGTTATAGCTGTGAATAAATTTACAGTACGCTGATCTAACTACCGGATTTCCTGTGCTTATGTTTTATTTCTGCCATGAAATCCTTCTTTGCTATGCTAGTTTAGATCAGTGTTGTGACAGATGTCCTCATAACGCTCTCTTTCTCTATAAGCTGCTTTAATTCGCATTGTACATGTATTTCCTGCTGGCTGAGGTCCGTGTCCCGCCAATCTGTGCGTGTAAAATCGCAGGTTTTGTTCTGGAGGTGTAACTGCTGTTTGCCCATCAAACCTCAAACCACCTGTCTTAATTCAGTGCCAAATGAATGTACCACAAACCACCCACATATTGCATGAAATGTTAAACAGGCTGATTTTTTTGCTTGTAGAGACTAATAAAAATACAATATCAAAGTGAGTTGCCTAACCTTAAAGAAAGTCATAGTAGACCCGTCCCTCACAGCACCATACTCAATCTTGGTCTGCTTGGCCAGATCATCGGCCGAGTCTATGGGCGAATCCATTCGCTCCACGGTGAGGAAGGCAGCCAGGTTAGCCGTGTAGGACGAGATGATGATGAGGGTGAAGAACCACCAGATACCTCCAACAATCCTGGTGGACAAAGCCTTGGGCATCAACTCCGATCCTGACCATGACAAATGTTCAACCAGTTAACAGATGAATGGTTAAAAATGCTGTAAAATCCAGAATGATTTTTTAAAATTTGTTTTACAATATATAATATAATATAATATAATAAAAAATTAAATGCATGAAGAGAACATAATGAAATTGAAAGCACACATTGACACTATTTTCAGAGTTTAATTGAGTCATTTTTGTAGATTTCAACACATTTGGCCACCCTAAAGTAGGAAACCATGTGTGTTAAATCTCATACCTTGCTGCATAAGAGCTCCAACACCAAACCAAACGCTGTTGATTAAGGTGAAGTTGTTCTCAACAACATCTGGATCAGGGTTGCAGGGATGAGGGTTGTACCATTCATACGGGGTGAACCTGCAGAACAGCACCAACACACCAACATTTCACTGTAAATGGACACAAATCAGCACTGTGGCTGATGCATTTTAAAAATAAATTCAGGGCGTCCGTCTGTTAAAGGGGTCATATGATGCTGCTAAAAAGAACATTATTTTGTGTATTTGGTGTAAATAAATACATGCTTGCAAGCTGAAAATTCTAAATTATAAGTTTAAAATTGTAAAATCCTTATTGATTTATTTAAATATTTTAAGTTACCAATATTATTTGATGAGTTCTAACTGGCATAATAATGTTGATCATTACATCAACTTACATTGTGTGTAATTTAAACTAAAATTTCTGCATTCATTGAATTTTTTAAATAACTTAATTAAATTGTCCTGATAACCTGAAAATTGGGCATTAGATTTCTAGTTCTCAGCATGCTTTACATAAGACTGCATAAAGAGAATAGATGTGGAAATGAGGTGTTATACTGAAAGAATGGTAACCTAAAATGGTCAATCTAAATTCCTCTTCAGGAACTCGAGCTGCGTTGGAGGACGCTTCGGGAACGCCCTTCAGCGTGACCGGCTCTGAACTTCGTGTGTAATCAGACCAATAGATGGGCGAGACGTCACAGGCGGGTGACGTAGTGACCAGGAAGCTATAAAAGCACGTGCGGTGAGACCAGCGTCAGCTTTCTGTCATTCAGCAAGCGCTCTGTGTGTGTGTCAGTTGTGAGTCTTATTTGGTGTTGTCTGTCCCATAGAAAATAAAGAGAGATAGAAACTAAAAGATGTCTAATGCACATGAAAAGAAAAAACACCAGTTGAGCAGGGGCGAAGGTGGGCAGCGTTTCAGACTGTGTGTTCCTCCCTGCCCGCGTTTCATTACGGGTCTACAAAAGATAGAGACACTGCAGGTCAAAGATAACGTCTCAGGTTACGTATGTAACCATGGTTCCTTGAGGGAACGAGACGCTGCGTCTCGGGGCCATACTTTCGGCATCTCTGCCAGCGCTTGCTTCACTCCTAGAAGCTGACGCTGGTCTCACCGCACGTGCTTTTATAGCTTCCTGGTCACTACGTCACCCGCCTGTGACGTCTCGCCCATCTATTGGTCTGATTACACACGAAGTTCAGAGCCGGTCACGCTGAAGGGCGTTCCCGAAGCGTCCTCCGACGCAGCATCTCGTTCCCTCGAGGAACCATGGTTACATACGTAACCTGAGACGTTATTTAACATCACTGAATCAACCTAAATATACAAATTTATGCAAACAAATCAGGCAGAAATAACTATTTATATAGCTAGCCTATTTATAATACATGTTTATGTTGAAATTAGTTGGAATGGTAATCAATTGTGTTCATGCTACAAATTAAGCTCTACTAACTCAATGTAATTTATTAATTTCAAGTTAAAAAGATTCATGCAAACTGTTGTTATTATTATTATTTTATTTATTTACATTTATTTTTAGCCAAAACATGTTTTTAGAGTGTAAGCCAAAAAAGATAACTTCACTAAAAATTATATTTTAACTGCAAATGTTCAAATAGAAGTATGAGTTAAAAAAAATATATACATTTGCAAAATGAAGACACATTTGCATTTGTATTAAAAATGAGCTGGCCAAGACTTGAGCTATTACTGCTGGGCAGTAAAACAAGAGCTAATTAACCACAATCCAACAAGACATCAGAAGCATGAAACTGGTCCAATTTGAAGAATTTAATCCCACCTAAAGGTTAAAATGGGTTGATATGGATTTTACCTGGCAATGACGAACAGCACACAGCTGACCCCGAGGCAGGCCAGCAGCACATACATCCAGATGTCCGGAGAGAGGGGGTTCAGGAAGGAGAAGACGCCTGGATTGGTGCCATTGGGTTTGTGGTAGAGTATAGAGATTCCCAGAGTCATGAAGGGCTTGGAAAAATCGATGACTTTCTCTCGCACGTAAGTGATGGTGAGCGGCGCCACGGCCAAATCTGCCACCTGTAATGAAGCCAGTGAGAATTAATTCATGGGAATCCTCTTGACTCTTTAAGACCATTTGAAATGATTGACAGATTACCCACAAAACTCTTAATCATTAGACTTACATGATCGATCAGCTCTCGGACCATGCCGTTCCACTCTCCTTTGTCATTCTGAGCTCCATATTTCCCATCAGACACCAGTTTGACTTCATAGGAAAAGCCTAGGATGTTGGACAACTCCTTCAGGAGATCCAAACAGTAGCCTTCAAACCGATCGTTCCCATACAGAGGCTTATCTGACTTCTTGTACATCACATATGGGTTTTCCTGCAGGGGCAAAAGTACTGTTAGTTACATGTGGATGGTCTTGTTGATGCTCTGCATTGGTTGATTCCTACCAGAATTGTGGTGACGATGAGCGTGCGGTTGGCCATGGAGTCGGTGACGTTGGTGTTTTTGTCTTTGTTGCTGTCTGTCAGGTTAAGGCCAGTGTTTGAGTTCCACACACCGATCTAAACAGATGCAGAACCACATAAGCAAATAGTTGAATTGTTTTTATTCTACAGGACAGATTAAGGGAATAATACACCCCAAAATTAAAAAAATCTGTAATTTACTCATCCTCATGTTGTCATGAGTTAAATGGGTGACATGAGAATGAGTAAAAGATGACACACTATTTCTTAAAATATTTACCAGAGAGAAATGTGTGTACAATTTTCACATGGGTGTGGTTTAAAACAGTGTTGTTGGTAACTAAAACTAAAATCATTAAAAACCAGTTCAAAAAAATGATATATAAAATAGACAGACAGACAGACAGACAGACAGACAGATAGATAGATAGA